GGAAGAAAGTGAAGCCTAGTTCTGGAGAACCCTTAATGTTTTATTTTGTTATTAATAAAGTTTGAGCAGATAGTACCAGTTGTACTTTATTGAATTTGTAATCACTTTTTTTACTTAATGCGGCCCAGTCTCACTCAGACTCTACCTCCTGCGGCCCCCCGGAGGATTTGAGTTTGAGACCCTGATTTAGAAACAAGGGTTCAATATAATATGTGAACTCATATTAAATTCTCATTCCACCTACTCAATGACATTTAGTGAACTGAAAAATACCACCTACCTGGAGAAATTTGGTGATTGACAGCTTGCCCTGGTCATCGCTCAGATAATCAAACAGGTGGTAGTCGATGTCATGGAACCCAAACATCTGTTCCCTGGGGACGGGGAGATGATACACTTTTAGACAGAATGGTGACAGGAGATTCATGATAGATGGTGTCATCACAAGTTAGAAAACCGTGATGTTAGACAACCGTGATGTTAGACATGCGTGATGTTAGACATGCGTGAAGTTAGACAACCGTGATGTTAGACAACCGTGATGTTAGACAACCGTGATGTTAGACAACCATGATGTTAGACAACCGTGATGTTAGACAAGCGTGATTTTAGACAACCTTGATGTTAGACAAGCGTGATGTTAGACAACCGTGATGTTAGACAACCGTGATGTTGGACATGCGTGATGTTAGACATGCGTGATGTTAGACAGTTAGACAATAGTTATATCATTAAAAATTAGGCAATTTTGATGTCATTAAAAGTTAGGTATTGTGATATCAATAGGTTAGGTATAGTGATGCCATCAAAAGATAGATTCCATAACAAGACACAATTATAAGGCAGTATGTGCCAAAACTAACATAACATATCGTTTAAACATACTGTACATAAGAGCACCAACGTAAACCATACTCAGCTAACACACCCACTGACATATTTTACCAACTCTACCCCCCTCCCCAACCCTCCCAATGAGTTATAATAGTGTTTCATAATGACAATGACATGATACTATGACACGATGATAAGCCATATTATTAGGTGCGTCTCAAGTTCATACAGGTGAGAGTAAGGGAAAGTAAATATAGGAGCGGGACGGTGTCCCGTTCACACCTTCAAAAGATCAGTCACCTGGGATTGTTCAAATGGTCGTAGTATAGTAGATAGACCATAGTCATCTGGGATTGTTTGTATGTCAAAGCAAAAGTTCGGTAGACGGATCCTATTCGGGGGGGGGGGGGGGGTGTCGGGTTGTTTATTTATTTGAGAGTAAGTGGTATAATTATAATATGCATGCCTCAATTTTTAAATGGGGGCCGTGTTTACGATGTTAAATTGTTTGTACGTATATAGTTTTGTTTACATTTTTTATTTAGGTTACGATAAATACGAGTCATGTGCACAGTGTCGTGTCAGTCTTGTGTGCAATTTGACGTCAGTCGTGTGTACAATAATTTGATTTTGATGTTAGCCTGTGTACAGTGTGATGCCAGTCTTGTGTAGAAATTGATACCAGTCTTATGTACAGTTTGATGTCAGTCTTGTTAACGATTTGATGTCAGCTTTGTGTGCAGTCACAGTGTGATGTCAGCGTGTACAGTGTGATGTCAGCATGTACAGTGTGATGTCAGTCTTATGTCTTATGGACAATTTGACGACGTCAGTCTTGTGTTCAGTTGGATGTCAGTATCGTGTAGTGTGATGTCAGTCTTATATCTTACGTACAATTTGACGCCAGTCTTGTGTACAGTGGCATGTCAGTATAGTGTACAGTTTCATGTCAGTCGGGTGTTCAATTGTACAGTGTTTGTTCATACATCTCTAGAACTTGGTATCAACACTGTTGGGGGGGGGGGAAATTAAAAACCTTACCCTTCTGAATGACCATATATGGTCCGAGACAGAGGTTGCTCCAGCGATGCCCCGAAATCCCCACTGGACAGCGATCCGATGTGGCGTCGTCCCGCTAAGTTAGAATTGGCCGGTATCCGAAACGAACTGCACCTCCCCGGGTCGGGTCTGGTGTTGAGTAGTCTGGTGTGTTTGCTCACAAGGGTGGGTATCCATGCACACTGAAGCCGTGTCGCGGCTTTCCGACACTGATGAAACCGTTGATACATCGAAAGTTGCATCCTGCGGGTTTGTTTTCAGACCACGAAAATAAATAAAATATTTCACTTCAAATCGGAATGGATCAAATCACAGACACAACCAATATGATACGCCTGAAGACAGGCCTAAAAGGTGTAAACTTAAAAAGGAAAAGCAGTGTGTGTTACGTTAAGTTGGATGTCCCTTGACAACCTTTGACTTTGAGAACCGGTGAACCGAAAAATATATATTTACCACAAAAAAAAATTAATAATATACACTTCCGACTCAGATCTTGAAATATTTTTGATTATAAATTATATTTCTCCCCTTGCAGATTTCTGAGATAGGAAAATTATCTTATAATGAATAGCTCTTTCACAGTGTGAATTGGACAACCGGGTTGAACACAACACACCACAACTCTAAGTCTAGCGTAACGCATTACCTCTCAGTCTGATGCGTTTTCCACTAGGCGTTCGTTTGGGGTTGTCCTACATTGTGATTGGTCGCTGCTAAAAATAGGTTCACGTGGCGTGGTCCCCCCCCCCTTGTTTGTTGTGTATCGTACAATCTGTGGCGCAGCTCGGGGGTTAGTGTCGCGGGCTAAGATCCCCTCTTCCACGAAAATAAATCTCTGCAGTTGGTCGAAAATGTCACTCCTCCAAATAGTGAAGGAATGCCCTCCCCATCCCTGCGCCACCACATGCAACACCCAGCCACTAAGATTGACCGCATACAACACCCATCCACTAAGATTGACCGCATACAACACCCAGCCACTAAGATTGACCGCATACAACACCCACTGTCACCCAGCCACTAAGATTGACCGCATACAACACCCAGCCACTAAGAATTACCGCATACAACACCCAGCCACTAAGATTGACCGCATACAACACCCAGCCACTAAGATTGACCGCATACAACACCCACTGTCACCCAGCCACTAAGATTGACCGCATACAACACCCACTGTCACCCAGCCATTAAGATTGACCGCATACAACACCCAGCCATTAAGATTGACCGCATACAACACCCACTGTCACCAAGACACTAAGATTGACCGCATACATCACCCAGCCACAAAGATTGACCGCATACAACACCCACTGTCACCCATCCCAGCCACTAAGATCGACCGCATACAACACCCACCGACACCCAGCCACTAAGATTGACCGCATACAACACCCAGCCATTAAGATTGACCGCATACAACACCCACTGTCACCAAGCCACTAAGATTGACCGCATACATCACCCAGCCACTAAGATTGACCGCATACAACACCCACTGTCACCCAGCCATTAAGATTGACTGCATACAACACCCAGGCACTGGGGCACCCACTAAGATTGACCGCATACAACACCCAGTCACTGGGGCAGCCACTAAGATTGTTGTTTTTTTTAAAAATTATCTCTAAGCTGAACTTTAAAAAAAAATCAAATAAAAAAACAACAACACTTTTCAACTCTATTTATAGAAAGAGGCGGAGCTCCGGGAACGGGAGGGAGGTTCAAATATAATTATTATGTATCATTGGTTGAAATCTATTTTAATAATTTTATTGCTTCAAAATTGCTTGATTGCCATATTTCGTATGATTGATGTGCTTTGATTGGCTGGAATCGATGATTGGAATGTGTGACTAGCCAGATTCGATTATTATTAATTTGACTGAGATCCGTGATATTATTCAAACGTTCTATTTTAACGTTCAATGCGAGAGAAGTTACTGATTGTATGGCTGTGAGTGACTAATAGCAGTACGATTGGGACCCTCGATAGCAGAAGCGTAGCGAGGGTGTTTGGCGCCCGGGGACAAGATCCATTTTAAAGCGCCCCTTTTTCTTTTTTTCAACTCTCAAGCCCATTATTTTGATCAATAAAATAATATCAAAGCACATTTTAGCGCCCCTAACTAGCTGGCGCCCGGGGACATGTCCCCCCTGCCCTCCCCTCGCTATGCCTCTGCTCGATAGTATTGTGTTATATGTTAAAAAATGTGTTACTGTGGTTTGATTGGTTGATTTAAATTTCACTCAGATTAAAATTATCAATTTCATTCTAATGTGATAGGTGATCAGACAAGACTGAAATGCCTGCTTGGAATTACTCCTCACTGCTCTGATTGTGATATGTGTGTGTTATTGATTGTGATATGTGTGTTATTGATTGTGATATGTGTGTGTGTTATTGATTGTGATATGTGTGTTATAACTTTGCCCTTGGTTATTCTTTGCAATGAAACTAAAACTATTTGATGCACAATAATTTTATTATTTCAACTCTTCATATGTGATAAGACAAATATGGAAGTTCAAAAATATATATATATATTATCCAATAGTGGCTTAGATCAGGGGTTCCCAAACACCGGCCTGCGAGCCACTTGTGGCCCGTCAGGTCTCAGAGAGTGGCCTCTAAATGTACTATACTGTATTTTAATCATTTCAAAAATTTATTGGCGTAGTGGCCCCCTTAATTACTGAAAAAAAAGTAGATATGTCCCTTTACTTGAAATGCTTGGGAACCACTGACTTGGATGATGTAAATAATTATTTCCTACTGGCAGAAAACAACATGAACACAGAGGTATGGCACTAACTACAAAATACTCAATTATAATATATCAAATTTTTAAATGAACTAAAATTGTAACAATTTTATTTATATCAAATGTATAAATGAACTAAAATTGTAACCATTATATTATATCAAATATTTAATTGAACTAAAATTGTAACAATTTTATTGTATCAAATCTTTAAATGAACTAAAATTGTAACAATTTTACTATTTCATATTAACTTAAATTGTAACAAATTTATTAAAATTATATCAAATGTTAAATAAATGAATTAAAATTGTAACAATTTTATTATATCAATGGAGTAAATTTGTAAAATTTAATTTATATCAAAAGTTTAAATGAAACTAATCTTGTTCTGTCATTGATTACTCAGATTGTTCATCAGCCAAGACTGACCGCTGGTCACCTTAAGTCAGGATTATGAAGCTTCTACCACAACCAAAATCTTCAGTATAAGAGAAATGTGGAAAAACATGGTGTTTTGATAGTCACTTTAGATTACCAGACACGTTACACAAACACAATGATTAGAAAAGATGAGACGATCCTATTCCTACAAACACAATTCATTACGGTATAATGTTACAAGACACCATCCCACAAACCCAATCATTAAAAAAGATGAGACAATACTACGAACACAATCATTAAAAAAAATAATAAATGACACATCGCACAAGCATGAGAAAATATTAAGATACAATCCTACAAGCAAATGGAAATGATCGGACGCAAACACCAATGCCTGCAACATTCAACTGTCACCGCAGCCTGCCAGGCTTAGACTCACTTAATTGTATTTACGTGCCTGGCATTCACCGATTCAGTCACATCGATTGAATTCTGTCATTCAGTCACATCACATGACTGAGGTATTTTTGAACATATCATTGGTATCAAACAAGTTTTTTTTTAAATTTTAACAGTTAAACAAAGAATAAACTTTTCTGATTAGTGTTGAACAATAGCCCCATTAATGTAGTTAAATCCCAAGCTCCTTTGCAAATCAAGAATATGTACAACTAGGACAGCAGTGATCAATTATTTGGTTCAGTTTCTCACAAGTTATTCATTAAAAAAACATTAACACAGGCAGTAAAATCAATGAGCGCTATGAGGAAATATGCAACAATAATTGTATCGGATAACTTTACAACCCGGTGATACTGATAAGATTGTTATGGTAACTTTGTGTCCCCGCCATATTGTATTTTTTTTGTGTGTAAGGGTCTGTTCACGCTGCAGATTTGTTGTTGGAATCTCGGTGAAGAACTCATGTTGAGAATCCACTGACACAGATATCCTGCGTAGGTGTTCACACCGACACAGATACCCCACATAGGTGTTCACACTGACAGATATCCTAATGTAGGTGTTCACACTAAGCAGGCATTACTATGGCTTCTGATACAAAATAGTTATATTTAAGTAATTTAACAATTTTAAATGTATGTGGTAGCTCAATAGTCAGGGGCCTGAAACTGTACATGGCTCTTTGAATGAATAAATTTGGCTTTTTACTTTTAAATATTATTTTTACCAATAACCACCCACAAAGGGGAAAATCCCATTTCTAAAAAAACAAGACATTGTTACTCTTGTAATTATCTTGTAATGCCCACTCCAACAAAATCAAACTGGAATTTTATTTCACACATTTTAATCTTGAAATACAAAATATGCCCACCTGTAGGAGTATTTTTTAATAGAAATAATTTTAATGATAATTAAAATTTTTAAACAAACCCTGTCAGCTGATGCCAACTTATGAGCAAAATGTTAAAACTGCGTCTGTATGTTGTCAGCAGACAATATACAGCAAATTTAAACAAGCCCGTGAAAATGAAACTTGTTTGTCCCGTTTTTTGTTACAGCACGCAGCACGTGGTAAGCTGAGAATCACAGTAACAAATCTGCAGTTTGAATGTACCACATCCATCTTGTTTTGTGTTAAATTGAATAGGAAGTTTAACAAAAAAACTTTAAAACTGGTCGTTCTGTAGAAGGGAGTTGAAATCGACAAGGCGATTTGGGCTTTAACGACAGTGGAACATGGAGTATGCCCTGAAAGGATGTCGTTGAAATAAACAAATGAAGGAGAAACCAATCAAGATTATTCAAACTATAAAAGAAATGCATCCCCCCCTTACCTGACTGTGTAAGTGTTTAGCAAGTGACTTTTGTGCTGCCCGAAATTTTATAAGCAATTTATTTTTAAAAATTAAAAAAAGCAGTTCAAAAAATATATACAACAAAAATTTACTGAAGTAACAAAATACTAATATAATTCACAGAAATCTCATAATAACAAAATGATCTACATAATATATATTAGGACAGGCTGTGACTATGTTATAGGGTAATGCTACAATATGATAAGGGTAGTGGGGTGGGGTGACACTTACACCACACTATGACAATGATTTGTGTGGGAGAAAGGAATGGTGGGTGGGGTGGGTAAGGTTATTATAGTTTTTTGAATAGGAGTGATGAGTCTCACACTGTGAGATGATGAGATGCTGCATTGAATTTGACCACACATTGTTCTCTGACACCATCACCAAGTGTCAATACTGAAATCTAAATTAAGTGAAAGTGTAAATTTAAAAAAAAAATGGCTGCCTTTTTCAAAAAATGAAACAATATTGTGTACCCTTTAAGTATTGATCTGTTCTGAACACAGTAACTGCTCGTTCATTGATTCAGTCCCGGTAAAGCAGACAAATGCTTGAGGCAACAGAAAAGATACACAGCACCTGTCTTTTGCCTGCTTCTGTGGGAGAACTCTAATGGTTCAGTAAGTCTCTAGACATCTGTCTTTTGCCTGCTCCTGGTGGGAGAACTCGAATGGTTCAGTAAGTCTCTAGACATCTGTCTTTTGCCTGCTCCTGTGGGAGCACTCTAATGACTCGGGTTAATATTTAATGGACCAAGTCTTTGGGTGCCTGCCTTTGGCTTTAAAGCCATTTATTTTCCTTGATCGCTGCATATTAGTGCTGCCCTGGGAGGTGAGCTTACTGGCATCCTACCGACGTAACAAAGTTATCATCATTCACATTTGTGTAGTTTCTACAATGGTTATCGCTACCAATTTGCTTTTTAGTTCTTCATTAACATTGAAAATTGTTTTTGGCCAGGAGATTTTATGAACCCTTCATCATAGTCATTTGTTCTGGATATACTAAGTTCCAGCTTTAATTTGTTGCGCAGTTGGTCTTTTTTCTTACTGAAACCAGTTTTATCACATCAAGTGAACAGTCAACCAGTGGTATTATAGAGATGAGGAATTTGAAGAGTGAAATCAATAATAAACGTTGATAATCAAGATGGTTTAAATAAAATTGTCATTATGCAAACTTGTTCATAAACTATGCAAACATCTTTACAAAAAACACAAATTTCTTTACCAAATACATTAACAAATGTACCAAAAGAACACAAACCTATGTACCGAAAGTACACGAACCCATGTACCAAAAATACACAATCTTGAAATTAACAGTAACACAGACTGGGTAAATGGATGTTTGACCTGGACATAGACTTAAGAAAGGTTCATCACAGCCACGCTAAAATCAGTTGTCAACACAGGCACTCAGGAAGAGGAGGGGATATTAAGTTTTCTTTAGCAAATTTGACAGTTTACATCTCGACAGTGTCCTGTCCTATTTGTTATGACACTAAAAATATTTCCATGAAATTTTTTTGTTTTATGTTTGTTATCTCAGCAAAACCAAACATTGCAATAGGAAAAATACAATATCTGAGGGAAAAATGCCTTTTTTTCTTGACACTTGAAAATTATAGATATATAATCTGTTAAAATAATGAAAATGTAATGTCCTTTTTTTCATTTAAGTCCTTTTATTTAACATCATATGTAATTGTAATATTTTGGGGGTGGGGGGGCATTAAACAGATGGGGGAAAAGGAAATTTTGACAGATCTAAACTGGTCTTAAATATGTGACATTTAAATATTCTAGCCTACACAACACTGACCTACGGAAAAATTTATCAGAAAGTAAACCATGTGATATCTTAGATGCCAAGATATTTTTTTATTTGCACGGACCAATAATGAGGATTGAATAAGGCAAAAAATGTTGCTATACTATACAGATATATATTATTTTTCTAGAGGCCAACAAATAAAAATTAAAGCTCCATCAGAAGGTCATCGGTAGTCTCTTCTGCTTGTGGCCTTGAACTCTGCTCTTCCTTGACCTCTTCAGCCAAGAATTTATCTGCTTCCTCCTTTGATATGCCACTTTCTTCACATTCCTTCTTGTATATAAGGCCCTGCTTGCCTGGTAATAGTGGTGAGACAAATAAATAATAAATATGTAATTTTTAACCAAAAATTTGGCATATCGGTATGAGATTTATAGGAAAGCCGTTAGTTCACTCTGGTACATAAATTATTCAGCTTAGAAAATATCTAGAAATGTGTCAAAATGATCTATTGTTAGGCCACTTGGTGGTGTCCAAATGCCCCAATTTATCCCAAATCACAACCTATGACAAATTGATCTCAAAAGCCCCACTTTTAGCAACCAATTCCCAAAAGCAACGACCTATTAATATTAATAATAGATCCTAAAAGCAGCACCTTCAGCAATCTGTTTCCAAAAGCTCAACCTATCGTATAACAACCTGATCCCAAAAGCCTCACCTTCAGCTACCGTATCCATAAAGCCCTACCTTTTACAACCTGATCCCAAAAGTCTCTCTTTGATTTAGCTATCAATATGACCTTGAAATTTGTGATGAATGAATTGAAGACTTTAGGCTCAGACTTCTGAAACCAAACAAACATGAAAAAAATAATTACTACACACCCACAACTGCTACTTTAAAAAAAAAAAATGTAATTGAAGCTTTTTTTATTCTTATTTTAGTCATGGAGGTGTGACTTGTACTTTATACTCAAAATGTTTTATAAATTAAGGCATTCATTACAGTAAATGTCATTAGCGAGTTTAAATAAGATTTACTGATTAAACTTGCACCATCCATGCAGCACCACTCTCATTTATCCAGGCAATACTGAACACTATAAATAATGGACAATCTTTTAGTTCAGTAGTTTAGTTTATAATTGGCTTGAGGTAACAAATTTTTTTTAGAATGAACTATCTACCTTGACACATTCCTGGCGTAGTGTCTTTAGACAGTCCAAAGCTTTTGAATATGTCTGCTGGCCAAATGACAGCATCACAATCTGCTCAATACGTTTCTGCATCTGTTCACATGCTGTATAGGCAGGTGTAAAAAGTATAACTATAAGACTCATGAAACAAAGTAAATTGGTACAACTCTTTGGAAAATACATTGTTTATAATTTAAGATATATTGCGACAGAAGCTTCAATCACTAAAGTCATCTTCTTTCTGGTGACCAAGTTGGGGGCAGAGGGAGTACAAAATTTTTAAAAATAATTTCCTTTTTTTTTTAATCACTAAATTAATGATATGGCGACAAAAGGATTTAGTTCAAAATGAAAACCAATTCAGTGCTTCATGTTGTCTTTAAAAAAAATTTATAATTTTACGGTCTCTCACATAATCACCTTCTTCAAACATGTCCTTATCTCTCCTACTGACAAGAGCTCTGAAATCTTCTATCGGGGTCACACTTCCAACCTGTTACAACAAAAAACTTTATGTTTTGGCACTTAAATGTTCACTAAACCAATTTTCTGTACATTTTATGGTTAATAGTCAAATCCACTTTTCTTTTATTAGCATGCCAGTACTTGTTTTTATACAAAAATTAGATAGAAGTTAGAAGGACCTAAAAAAAAAAAAATACCTCTGTTACATCAGCTTTTGTAATGTTTTTTATTCCCCCTGCCAGGTCATCGTCTAATTTTTGTTTCTTCACGGGGGGCCCACTAACTGCTGCCTCACTGAAATATGAAATTCTTTTTTTATAAGAAGCAATCAATGTTTTTAAGACATGCAGAATCTTCCCAGGTTGTCAGGTTTTTATAATATAAAACATTTGTTTAAATTGGAGAACTCGTACGTAAGAAAATACAGGCATGCATTTAAGGCAATGAAAGATCGTACATCAACGTTTATAGTTGTTAATGAAGAAGCCCTTAAAACTGAGCCTTTCAAAATAAAAAAAAGCACCAATCCTGTAGTTGAAAATAGAGTAAAATAAAAAAGGAGCACATGAACTCTTACGGTTTAATAACCATTGCTTCTTTATAATACACAAATGTTTTCACAGACATTGAGTGAAATTGATATTAAATTATTAAATCATTAATGAAAAAACACAAGACTTGGGATTAACTTATAACATCAATCAGCCAGGGAAAAAAATCTTACAGATGAATAACTTCCAACCTAAGCCATGCAGTGGAGCGGGCAGGGCCCTACATGGGCTGTAGCACCACTGATGGTGACTAGGCCATGCAGTGGAGCAGGCCAGAGCCCAACATGGGCTGTAGCGCCACTGATGATGACTAAGCCATGCTTACTTTTCTTTATTAAAAACATTTTCCCCAGTCTTGTCCTTTTCTTTGACTTCCAATTTGAATTTCTTCTGCACCTCCTGCAGCACTGGCCTGGACTTGGTGAGCAAAGATGAGGGTGGCTGGAGATAATTGGCAACAAAGGGAGACAGCTCTGGAAGTGGTTTGTCTGGGTTCAGGACCCTATGTTGTAAGCACTGCAAGGAGATGTAAAGAATTTTACTGATGAAATGACTGAATGACACTGCATGATGTTGGCTATCAAAGATATGCATGAATAATGAAATAGTTTTCATATTTAAAAGGTTATAAAAATAAATAATCATTTAACAAGTTATTAAAATAAAAATCCAAATTTCTAGATGACTGTACTGTATGTCGAATGGACAATTTCTCACATTATTATCATTGCTTGTAATTAAGGATGAAATAAACATTAAAATACAATGAAAGTTTTTATTTTAAAAAAAAAGCAATGTAAATACCTGATAAACTCTTTGAAAGTAAGGGTTAAAGGTCAACTTAGGTTTAAGAGCTTCCTCTTTTTCTCCATCTTCATCTCTAATAAATAAAGAAATCATTGCTAATTTTTTTAATATTATTTGTAAACATTATAAATCTAATTGTAAATGCTTTATTATTTTTTGTTTAAACTACCCCATTTTAAAACAATTGAAAAGGTATAACAAGTTAATTAATTCAAGAGTCAAGAGAATACATTATTTCTGAAATTGTAGCCTTTGATGCCAAACATTCTGCTCACTCTAAGAACAACCTATTTCAGTCAGAGATAACTAAGATGAAACAATTTTCTCACTCTAACGCTTGTGACAAATCCATGCTTGAAATGAGATCATCCACCGCTCTCAGTTGGTCATCTAAAAATAAAGTTAACATTAAACCTATCAGAGCCAAAAAATTGAACATGTAAAACAAACAAAATACAATTGATGTACACTGACTACAACAGGTGCATACTACCATACAAACTACACCAGATTCACACAAACCTCATCAACTAATTAACTATGCACTTGCTATGTACTTATTGATTATCTTGTTATTTTATCATCAATTTTTAAAATTCATTTTTTAAAAATGTAATATTTTAAGGAAACAGCGATCCCCATTTTTTCTAAACGTTTTTCAGGAGACGAGTTTACATTTTAATTGAATAGGGTAGGTCCCGGTAGGTGGCCCTATTAGTTTCACATTACATGTCAGCACTTGACTTACCAGACGGTTTGTACTTCTTATTAATTACTGCATCTTCTTTAATGGGCAGTGAACCAAAGGTGAAAGTTCTGATGTCTTCTGAAAAGGGCAGCTCCACCCAGAATAAACACTGGTAGAATGTAGAGATACATTAATAAAATATATATAATTTCTTGTAAATTAAAAAAAAAAGGACAAAGAGAATGGACATGGATCAATCACACACTCTAAAAATATTTGCAGCCAGCATCACCTGGAAACACCAAAGCTAAATGGAAAGAGGCTGGCCATGGAATAACTAAAGACTCTGGTAGGAGGCATGCTCAAAAAAGATGGGAAGAGACTGTGGACTTTTGAAAATGGATATGTCTATAAATCTCAGGCCAGTGGCTTATGTCTGTAACAGGTCGATGGGCAAACATCACATTAATACATCAGAATTTAATTCACCCACTAAGGTAGGGGTCGACCACCTTTTGATAACATTGTGATAAAGTGAGATTTCTACTGCACACCATGCGCTAAAACCCTTTTAAGGCGCATTTGCAAATTATTATTTTAATTTTGGTCCTCAGCATGCCATTGAAAATTGCTCTCAAATCTGGCGTATGTCCCATGGGTTTCTGACTTCTACACTAGGGTATTGAATGCCATAAAATAAACACAAGCTGAATAGAATTCAACACACTACTTGGGGCATAAATGCCATTCTGGGACATATATTTTATTGCCAAAGAGTGAAAATGATAAGCATGTTTGGTTTATACTGGGTAAAGTTGTGAGAAAAAATACCTAGCGAAACACACAAATGTTCGCCTTAATGAGTTAGCCAGGAAATGGGGGATCAAGAACAAAATCAATTTACTAAATAAACGTATGCAATTAGCTTTTTTTTTAAATAGCAAACAACAAGACTGGGGAGACATGTTTTTCTTCTAAAAAAAAACAATGAAACTTTCCATACCCTTGTTTCCTGTTACACCTTCATTACACCTCCAAGAGCAACAACATCCATCCACAGCTGGCCACAACCACAGCTCACTACCTCTTTCATTTCTTTTAATGACGATACCCTCTTAATCAACTGACTAAAGATAGTCACTAATCTTTTCTTACATAAGACCCTGTTTACTTATTTAAACTGCTATCATATACAAAGAATATTTCTTGTCACCTAATGATATTCATTGGTAATGCCTACAAGCCAACCCAGCCCCCTCACCCACATATTTCCAACAAACCACTCAGGACTTTGTGACTGTTGATCGTACCTCATATTTTGTTTTGATGTGAGGGAAGAGACATCCTATTCTGGGGGCTGAGTTTGCAGCATACACCCTCCTGGCTATGGCCACTGTGTCTGTTTCATAGAGGGCGTGGATAAAAGCAGAGAGGGCAATGGCTGCAGCCTGGAGAAAATCAAATATTAATAAGTACCGGTATATAAAACAATTGAGCAAATAAATACGATATGTTTATACTTAAATATACAAACAGATTTACATAAGCAAAGTCAACAAATGCTGACACATTATCTCATTGGAATGATTATTGATACTGGTACAAAGATATTCAAAAAATTCCTGTGGTATTAATTAGCATTTCTATTCCAAATAATTGAAACTGACTATCAATTTATATTCCAGAAGTGCATACCTCATCTCCTTTCTCTGCTGTGATACTCAGAACACCATCTCCAAGTATGTGATACTTTTTGAACTGTTTGAAAATACAAGGGAAATAAGACTATTTGCAGGTGCCTTATTTTTGTTAATGGTAACAGTATGAAAGAACAAAAATGAACCAAAATGTGAATAGGAAAGAGTGATAAAAACTTCTTTTTTTAAATCACTTGGTTAGATCATGTTATTTTAAGTAGAAATATGAAACTGTTTATACAACGTTCAATTTGTACCATGGCATGTCTAACTTTTAACAAAAATTTAGATTATTTTACATTAAAGATTAGAATTATTTAAAGTGTTCAGACACTCTGAATTGAAAAAAATGAAACATTTTTTTCACACATTCTACAACAATTTATTTATGCTGTCAAAGATATCATTGAAACACTTTAAAAAGTGTACTCACATTATCTGCCTTGGTAAAGCCCAGGACTTTCAAACATTTCTCAGCTTTGTATTTCATGTTGTCCTTGTCATCTTCAGACATGGGTACAATGGTGTTGCCATAGCGATACCCTGAGATAAATTGTAAACAAATGGTGTTATCACATCGATACCATTAGGAGAAATTATAAACATTGTATTAACTTAAAATATAGCCTAAGATACATTGTGAAAAATTGTGCCACTATAGCCAAGACCTGAGATACTTTATAAACAATGCTGCAACCAAAGTGACGCCCCGCAAGAGACACTAATACATTTTTAAAAAATTTATATCAGTCTGAATTACAGATCTGTAAGACACTCAAGTCCATCGGTCAAAATTTGATCTTTACCTTGAACCATGTCTTCCTTCTCCACTTCTGTCTCCTCCTCATTGTTCATGTGGTAGGTCCTTAGAATTCCTGGTGCCATATCTGTATTCTGTGCATACACCTTTTTCCAACTCTGCTTCAGTTTATACTCTTTGATCTTTGAATTTTAAAAATGTTAAATCAGTTATAGACATCAGGGTTGAGTGGGCTTGTTGGTCAAGTTGAAAGAAGTTGTTGTGGAGGTAAGGCCTGGGTACAAAACCACAAGCTGGCAAAACAGAAAAACAGAAGCCTATTCCGCATGGGATTAAAATAGTTGGCTAATGCAAAACAGGCGCAGTCTTGCCAGCTAAATTAAAGTTGTGACAATAAATCTGGAATGTTAAAAAAAAAGTTAAAAAAACATGGCATAAATAAAAAGCTATAGAGCGGGGTGTAAATAATAAGAACAATTTTATACATTTATTTAACATGCAATATGAAAAATAAAAGGAAAACTGCCTCTTACTTTAGAAAATCCACAGATAGGAATCTCCACGTTGACAATCTCCAGCTTACACTTCCAGGCCATGGGTTTTATCTGCCTGGTCTGGAAGTTGCTTAATGCAGGCAGAGCCTCACTGTGAACATTCAACACACACAGAAAATCACATGGCAATATCCAATTTGAATTAAAACGCTGTGTAAAATTATATTAAAGGCTCTGTCAGAGGGCAGTCAGTTAAGTCATTTAGCTGGTCATTTATATTCTCAGCACCCTCAACTATCCAAAAGTAAGATCAAACATTTATAAATTTCCTAAGAAATAATAATTTCAAAGCAGTAATAACTGAAAGAATGCATTTTTTAAAACAATTTTGTAACAATGGGAGAAACTTGCCCACAATCAGGATAAGGGGTCATCCATAAAAGACGTCCACACAAAAGGGGGGAGGGGGGGTTCAGCAAAAAGTGGACTAAAGTGGACAAAGGGGGGGAGGGGGTTTAGGACAAAGTGGATGTCCACATTGTAGTGTTTTTTTGAGTGCAGCAGTTTTGCATAAATTTACTGCAAATTTACTCCCCGATCACAGTTACAGTAGCATGCCTTTTGATCCCTATTGTCCATCGGTGGCTGGAAGAATTTCCAAGAGAATATGTTTCTGCTGTACATATTTCCCATCACAGGCGGCAATGAAAAAACATAAGGTCGTCCATTGCAATATTACTGGTAGTGAACATAATATGGCAGACGAAGAGACTGCCACTAAAATTTAATTAGCAATTGAAGACTCAAGAACAGATGTTGTCATTATACGAAACATGTTTGAATGGCTGCAGTCCAAATTTTCCGTTGATTGAAGAATGTTTTGTGGATTTTTTGTTTATTACATTTTTTAATACAGTGATTCAATAAAATGTTTTTGAACAGTTATTATTTCATTTAGAATTTTGCCTGCAAATAATTGGAATTTCTAAAAAAAATCTTTGTGAATACATACTCTTTATATTGTTGTACATTTCCCCAAAATATTCGTTAATTTAAGTTCGGTAAATTTTATGTTTTGGACGTCCACAACTGGGGGGGGGGGTGGTCAAGTCAAAAGTGGACAAAGGGGGAGGGGGTGGAAAAAATAGCAAAAAATTGGTGGACGTCTTATAGGGATGGCCCCTAAAGAGGGCTCCGGGGCTTCCACCAGAAACTCTTTATTAAAATATGCTAATTTTATAGGGGGGGGGTCAAGTCAAAAATGGGCATGGGGGAGGGGGGGGGGGTAAAAAATAGCAAAAAATTGGTGGACGTCTTTTTTGGATGGCCCCTAATACACTACAACCGAAACTGAATTCTACCTTCCACCATAAACAGCAGACCTTAGATAGAACAATAGATTATTGTAATCAGCTAGATGAAACCTTACAGAAAACCATCAGATGATTTTTGTAAACAGAAAAAACTAAAACTGACCTGAAGCTGTAACAGCTTCCTTCAACTTGGTCAAGGATATGCTTAATGAGGGCTTCCCCAGATCGTTGCTGCCTGGTCTTCTCCTTCTTCACACCATCTGGGTGTGCGTCTGCACCACCTCTCTTCTCTTTTGGTTCGTCTTCCTCAGATTGGTCATCCAGGTTAGGACCACTAGGGATAAAAATTAGTATAGGACATTCAGACTAAGACCACTGGGCATACAAATGGTATGGGACAATTCGACTAGGACTACTGGGCATACATATTTTTTTTATAACACTTAGACTTGGACTACTAGGCATACAAATGTTATAGGATATTCAGACTAGGACTACTGGGCATACAATTTTTATAGGACATTCAGACTAGGACAACTGGGCATACAATGTTTATTAGATATTCAGGCTAGAACTACTGGGCATACAAATTTTAGGGTTGTTCAGACTAGTCTAGGACTTCTGGGCATACAAATTTTATTGGACATTCAGACATGGACTACAGGGATCAAAAATATTATAGGACAGTCAGTCTAGGACTACTGGGCATACCAATGTTATAGGACATTCAGACTAGGACTACTGGGATGAAAAATGGTATAGTAAGTTTTTTTAGACTATGTCCAGGCTAGGTTCACAAGGAATAAAAACTTCATAGGACTAAGAACACTTGATATACGGACATTCAGTATAGAACTGCTGGACCTTTATGGAAAAAGAAAATCCAAACTTTGTCCATTATGATGTCTAAAATGTCATATTTAACTACTTAGATGACATCTAAAAGGTCAACTAAATAATAACTTACATGACATCTAGTTCAGTTTTTGTATATTGCATGGCATTGACAATAGTTTCAAGTTCTTGATCACCAAATGGGCTACCCAGGTCAGAAAACAAAATGATTCGTCTTGATCCAAAACCTTTCTTGCCTCTAAGTAGAAAGAATTTTCATTTTCAAACTTTAAAGAAAATTTTATACTTGTGTTGTTGTTTTTTGAAATCATGAATGTTCAACAAAAAATAACTATAAATATTATGAAAGAAATTATTAGACCAAATCACGCCCCAAAAAAATGCTTAATAAACCAAATTAATAATGAGTCTTACTGTGTGGCATTTTCCAAATGGTCCATGGCTATTACAATGGCATCAACAACTGAATATTTTATGTAAGGCAGTACTCGTAAAACAAGTAATAAATGTTTTTTGAAGCCAGATGGACAACAAAAAAAAAATCATCATATGTGAGGAAGCATATTTAATTACTGTACCACTGATAGGAATAAAATAACCAGTTTTATATTGTCTTTTCAAATACAAACAGTAATGGTGGAAGGAAAGTTAGAATGTTTTGGATTTCAAAAGCTTCTAGTTTAAACAAAAGATGCATATAAATAAAATACCATAGAAAGCTAATTGACTTGATGTTAAATTTACAGCAACTTAAGAAATAAAATATAAAAAAGTGGCCATCTTTAATGGTCAAATGGATACAGTCTCCTGGAGTATCAGACGGCTGTAAATCAGTTTGAACCTGTTGGAGTAGGTCAAAGTCTGCAATGCCTAAACGTCGCTTGAGTGTGATGTTTTGGTAATTTTCTCCATCTGCAAGTGGGTTGTCTGTATCAGTTGTACCCACGAGAAGCAGAGCAATTTCATCTTTCGATTCAGAAAATATCTTGAGGCAAAAAATTTTTTTTAAAAATAACAGATGATAAAACACAGCATTAGATTTACAAGCTTTGAGTATAATGACTTGTCTTAATCCAAGTGACAAAGATGTCTTTATAGAGATAATGCATATTAATGTTAGAAAGCAATAAATCAATATGCTAAATACTGTTTAAAAGGGAATTCATTTTTTTTTTTAATAATGCTAGCAATAATTAATTACCAAATAAAAGAAATAAGCTATAACTTAATCCATTTTTGTTGCAATTTGTCACTGGATTTAGTAGAAACTGTAATTGTTTAAAAACCATTTTAAAGGTAACTGAATACTGAATGCAATATTTAATATTCTAAAATAAAAAAACTGATTACAATATTAAAAAAAAGATTACCACTGATATATTGTGATTTACAGGATATTGAAAACAGTTGAAATGCCTTTTGAATAATTCATAAATATATATAAATAAGCTTTTCAAATTTAGCAGTTATTAAATTTACAAAATTTATTACTGATTTTACCACTAAAGGGGTCATTAAAAGTTCTAAAATAATAAGTGGCAACATCTCAAAGCTACTGACAACAACTCATTAAATGTTTAGTAGAAATGACATTTTTGTTAGAACCTTTCTCTGTAGAATCATATTGATGCCTTCAATAGCAGTCTCAAGTGGGGTGCCCACACCAGGTGGGGCCTGATTCATAGATGGTCCAACATCTAAAATGATAGCAATGGCTTCCTGAAATTAAAAGAAATGTACGCCTGTTTAGTATTATAAAATACATTTAAACATTGCAATGATAGGTTTAAGTCAAAATACTGTTAAATACGTAAAATAAAGCATCAATTCAGAGTTGGAAGCATGGTTATGACAGCTTTTCTATACTAATTCCCAAACCATAATAAATGGCAGGGCAACACTGAGCCATCCTCCTTGGTTTCATCAAAAATAATTTATTGTTCAGGAGAACAACAACAAAATTCTGACTGCAGCACACTAATAATGTTAGAAATAAGATGAAAATGAGCCCCGCTTTATTCTGTCAATGAAATATGAGGGTACTGTAAAATAATAACTTCAGATTTTGATCACAACCATTAAAAAATGCTCGTGTGGCAAATTAAATAATGAAATAAATTGATGTCATTCAATAAAAAAATATGTACAGAGTTATAAGATAAGACAAGTTGAATTAATAAAGTAGGCACTTCGGTAAAGCAAACAAGACTACTAAAAAATGTGTATGGGAAATGGGTGTTGGCTCCGGAAAATCCAAGTTTTTATTTTTTGATGATACCACTATTTCATTTATAAAATAATATTTTTTGTCCCACAATTTGTAAATTTCCTTTATTTTGTTTTGGATGACATCTTGGCCTACATTTCAATCAATTTCTTTTTCATTTAAACTTTGAGAAAATCCTTGGTTAATAGAAGTAGAAGGAATTGGTCATAATTAAAGTTAAGTGGAAGTTAAAAATATACATCTTTTCCCTTTTTTTCATACCCATCGAGTATATATTAATCTACATGTGTGCCAGTTTTCATAGCGTTTTGTGTTTTACATGAGACGTCATGTTACTACATGTGAGCAGTATCTTATGGAGATCACTTGGCCACACTTCACATGGATCTGACTACGCCCCCCTTTTTAATGGCAGCAGATGTTGATACTTAGGAAAAATTCAATTATTACAAATATTTTTATCAAAATATTAGATAACGTGTGTTTTAGAATGACTCCATTTTATAAATTATCATAATTTACAGTGTGCAGTGCCGTTGAAATGGACAACAATTCAATAATTTGCATATGACTTTAATATATATTCTCAGAGTTTCATTTCATTCAAAATAGATTGCCATGTGCAATCTACGGTCATTAGAGTCCACTCCAGATCATGCCAAACTGAAAATCGATAGAACAATAAATTCCAGGGAAAATTTATCAAACTGGTTTCCATTTCACAATATTTTTTTTTTTCCGGTCGGCTACCCAATTGTTTGTGGGTTCAATTGTCTATATACACTTCTGGATGTTCACTTGTCCACTGGTTCACTCGTCCTGCGTTCATTAGTCCGGTCACCGCAGCGGACATACAACACCAAGGTTATCTATCCTTAACAATCAGAAATCTGTCTAGAGGTACCACCATAAACCACTGCACTGAGAAGCCGCAATGACTACGTCGCTGCTAGCACCTTCCTAAACAGAAACATGCCAAGGTGCTGGAGACCACGTTGCTCCCACTATGCCGGTGCTTCTCTAAGTATCAGAGAATGACTTTGTCCTGGTAAGCAGCAGACGATGCAAAAGATGTGAGGCGTGAGACTCTGCCATGTAATAGAATTCCACTAACATCAGAGCGTGACCAATATCTAAGCATTGGTTGACGAGTCACATGTCCTTGTAATGAGCCGATCAGGGAAACTTTAAGAGCGGACCAGGGATTATGTTAAAAAGTGTAAGCAAGAGAAATGGCTGATGCATGTGATCTTGAGATACCGTAACAGCAAGGGATTAAGAAGATTGTCTCAGTGGCATAGCGAGGGTTAATGCCGGCAGCAGAGATTTTTGCAACCCACTATCACAAAATTTAATTTAAAAACTCTTTAGCTGGCAGAAAATGCCACACCTCCATATAAAGAAAAAAGTGTTACCTGGGGTGGAACGCCCCCTCAAGAGACCACTTACTAAACAAGTGGAATGACTTTTTTTTTGGCAGATGCAAGTAATCTTAAAGTCAGGAAATAAAATGTTTAAGATGTCTGTGGTTGGTCAGCTCTAATTTGATAGGAGGGACTTAATTATTTAGATGACTCCTAAGTTGAGTCTCAATCGTGCCGGGTAAAATGAGAGACATTGTTAGTGATTTGATAAAATTGGACAGACTCATTTTGCTTTCTAATTATTATCAATCTGTTCAGGTGTTCGTTTCACTATTGTGAAATATTTCATTACTTTCCCGCTTTTCCCCTCTCTGTAAATCACCAACTATTTATTGACAGCGAAATTGTCAAAAAAAAATATTTTTTTAATTTGACACTTTTATTTAACGCTTTAATAAACATTATTCCTTATACCCCCCTCCCCATACACACACATAAAAATATAGTCACATTATGTCCTAATGGATGCAAGACCGTACAAAGGAAAATCAGTGCCCTGTGTGAAATACATAAAATTATTGACATTCTGGTGAGTACCACCTTCACACCACCCTGCATGGATGGCCCCACAGTTTTCAAGATGCCTAGAACATGAGATACTTAAATATTTTAAACTTGTCTAAGGGGCCATCCATAAATGTTGTCACGCGTCTGGGTTGGGAGGAGATCACATTTTTGTGACGATGTGTGATGAAGGGGAGGGGGGGCTTAAGCAATGTGACGTCACATGAAAAGCGGAATATTAAAGGAAAGAATTGCACTAAATAACCCTAAATTACAGACATTTTAAACATCATTCTTTTATGCAACAATTATTATTTTCTTTTTAAACTACAATCACTAAAAGAATCAGTATAGGCATGCGAGGTCCGCCATATGGCCTGTGATCAAGTTACAGGCCGCCACTGAGGAACAGAAAATGGGTGTAGTCACACTGACAGTCGAGAGAATTTATGTCAAAATGTTGAGACGAGAGTCATAGAATTTGGCATACCATGTGAAATGGGATAGAATAAAAAAATGGTTGAAGGGTCGGGGGTGTGATCTTAATAAATGCTTTAGGGCAGTGATTCTTAACCTTCTGGCAGCACCTCAGGCTCACTCCGTTTTAAACATAGCCCCCCCCCCCCCCCCCCCCCCCAACCCACCAGCCGTATAAATGATATTATAATAAAATATGAATATAATTCAATAATTTAGTTATCATAGTTTTATTTCTTTGATTAACTTTTTATAAACAAGGAAAAAATGACCAATACAAGTAATGTGCAAAAAGAATTCACTAGAAAAAAATTACTGCTGCTAATTATAATGCATAAAAACGTTGTTTTTTTTAAAAAAAGCAGCAGCAACTGGCAATGGCAGCAAATACAATTTTCTGGTCTTCCGCACCTCATGGCTGGGGAGGTACTTTTCCCCTAGTTAAGAACCACTGTTCTAGTGAAATGTTTCTGACAGAGGTGCAGTAATTTGATATCCATTAGAGGTGAATTTCTTAAGGGTTTGTAAAGTAAAGGACAATAGTGGACACAGGGAATTTTTATAGTGGTGGGGGGTGTGTGCAGAGATTTGTGATGTCATATTTGAGGGGGCGGGGGTCTAATTTGTTGTGATGATGGGGGGTGGGTAGAAAATCTGCAAAATTTGCGAGATGTCATTTCTGGATGCCCCATAATAAACCCACCACAGTTTTAGAAATAAATATTGGACACCTAGAAATAATTAAAGTTATAAAATAAATAAACCATTTATTTCAATCCGGATACATCCAATTGTTTATAACATATCTTGAAGAGTTCTCTTTGATTTGATTTAGCTCAATGAGGGCCATTTATGAGTTATGACAGAAGATTCATGAAATGTACAGTTTAAATCTTGTACAATTAGTTAAATGTTTGCTGTATTCTAACAAAAAGAAATTCATTGATTACTAAATTTCTAAACTAAATCTATTTTGCAATTGTCAATTGACATTGAAAATTAATGTTTTTAACTTTAAGTCATTTCAGGTGATTTAACCAAAAAGTGTTTGTCCAAGTACCTAAATAAAATGAACTATGTTCTGTTTTTCCCAGAATAATAAGTGACTGAGGATGTTCATTGCTGCTCTATTCATGTTATTGTTTTGCGACTTTGTTTTGTTATTAAGCCTATCGGAAACAGGTGGTTTATTTTGGGGGAAAATAACACTGAATTTCGAAAACCAATCTTTAATAGGAATTTCAGCATAATCAAACAATGTAACATTTATCCGGAAATGGGTATTATGGCTTTCTCCACCTAAGTACAATCGAAACACTAATTGGTCGTAATTTGCTGCAAAGCTTTAGAAAAATAATTTGTAAGGCAACAATTTACCTTATTTGCCGCCATTTTGACAACAAACTTTCACCGGGCAAGTTACCGAAAAAAGCCACAGATAAACAACCGGAAATCAGCTGTGTTTACTTGAAAGGTCAAGGTTCAATTATAAAAAGGAAAATGCTTTCACTGGCTGTCAGTTCCTTGGTTCTCACTCAGGGCGTAGCGAATTTCCTTGCCTTTATCCTAACGGAAATAAAAGTGAATTTTGGTATATAGAAATTTTATCGAGATACTTTATAAAAGAAAGTCTTAAGTCACTTAAAATTTAACAATCTGCATTGCAAATAAATATTATACAATGACCATTCCAAGTCCAATTATTCATTTTTATTTCATTGAAATTCAATCATTGATCATTGATTAATTTAATTTCATTTAATAATAATATAAATTATAATAAATATAATTTATTCATATAAATCAAATAATATTTATTAATTAAATTAAAAAAACATCCCACCCGCTTGTCAATGCCGGTTTGTCGGTATTAAATGGTAATAATTTTATTTTTTAAAAAATCAGTTTACATTTTAAGACAGAGTTCCCCAATCAATTAAAATAAAAAGTTAAGTTGTTACAATAATTATACATTATTTATTTAATTTTAACTCATCTGACATTTACAGATCTATCTAGAAACTATCATTTATATTCATAGCCATAATTTATTATTGAATAATTAATAATTGAAAATAATTATTATATATTTTTCAGAGTTCAGAGTATTTAATGCCTTTTTTCATTGACTTCAATGAAGTCTTCATATTACTATTAGTATTAGGTTGGATAACAGTCAAGCCTTTATGAAAAATGGTGGCATTGTTTTTTGAATTTCTACTGACTTTTAAGAATCTAATAACTGCATTTGTACTGTCCTGGATTCACTTCTTTATACCCCCAATTTCTAAATGTGTGAGAGAAGAAATCGTGTTAATAACAGGGGCAGGCCATGGCTTGGGCCAAGGCATGTCTGTGGAGTTTGCGAAACATGGTGCAGTCACAGTTTTGTGGGATATCAATGCAGTTGGACTTGCTGACACTGTAAGAAAGATTGAAGCTGTTGGTGGCAAATGCTACCCCTATGTGTGTGATGTCAGGTGAGTTAACCTTAAAATTTAAAATGTTGCTTTCTAGATTGTCGAATATTATTATTATTATTATAAGTGGTTTTATATAGTGTGGTACCCAAGCCTAGGGCTGGGCTCACCACGCTGTACATACAATTTAACAAACATAATCAAAGACTTAAAAAATTAATTAACATACACTAATTAAATAAAACAAAACAAATGTATATTTAAAACTATTTACATGTCAAGCCATGGACGACACCCAGCAGCATTCTTTTTCGGTCATAGGGGGGAATCGTCAGAATAAAAGAGTTTTAGAAGATGTGTTATGAGTTTTCTACCTATCCTTGACTTAATGAGACTTTGACTTTGATGTTTCATCTAATGAAATTGAATGTTCACGCCACAATTTATTTGTTCAGATTGTCTTGGAAAGATTTAGCCAAGAAACAAATACTGATCAGCCACAGCTAGTGATGGACTATTTAATTTCAGCTAAGCAAATCCATTAGGGTCAAGTAATTAAGTTAAATATTAAAAGAAGAAAATTTTAATTTTTGAATTCTAATAGTTGTTAATCAGCACTAATATTTATTGAGTGAGTGCTTTTATACTTCTTTTAGACTTTCTTTGGTTAAAAAAGTGTAACTCCCCTAAAAAAATTATTCTGATTTGAACCCCGAATATATATGAGGGATCTGAACTATTGCTAGTGCTAAATGACAAAATATCATTGAAAAGAAAATTTAAAAATTCATGTTTTAAATTATCTTTGTTCATTTGAGTTTTGTTCATTATCTATCAGAAAATGTAAGATTTATTTATGATAACTTTAAAATGGCTTCAAACAAACATTTGAAGTAAAAACTACACACTTTCAGAAGTATAATGCAATAAACTTCAATTAATTTCTCAAAGTAATCACAAATATCACAGTTTAAAAATGGATAAAAAACAAACTGGGAACATTTGTTAGCCATGGCCAAATGTATTTTAAAGCAATGAATAAAATTGGTTACAGTATTGAATACTGGACCAGCCTTATTTAATGATGAAGTGGCACAATCATAATCAATAATAATTGATGGGAGTTAAACATTATGATGTAAATGTAGAACTGTCAAAAATTATGTTTGTTTTTAGGGGCAAGGGTTCAGAAAAAAAAAGCTGATTGAAATTAAGCAGCCTAACCGAATAAACAAAGTATGCTCTGTTGTGTAACAGTGTATAGAAAATTTTTGTCCTTTTTTTTAGGTCTACCTGGAAATTTCAATATTAGAAAATCAAGTGAAGAAAAATGATTAACAATCATGATCAGGGGTCGGAAATCAATGACACTCGTGTCAGACTTGGCTCTCATTGTGATTTTCATTGGCATGTGAACTAAAAAAAAATTAATTCTAAATGACCCAAAAAAAATGCAACTTATTAATTATAAGTATATTAATTATAAGACTTATTTAATAAGTTAAGTTATTTTGGCACGCTTTACCCAAAGGTTGCAGATCAGTGATCATGATTATTAATTAATAATACAGTAACCATAGTATTTTTAAAAAATAGTTTTCTATTACAAAAGTAAATTTCACTAAAGTTATTTTTAATAGTAATAGGATAGGCTTTATGTTATGTTACATAAATTTAAAAACGATTTTTGCCTCCCCCGCTCCCCGTTTGCCACTGACGTCATTCAGTTGGTCTAAGTCAAGGGGGGGAGGGGGGTTGTTTGGAACTTGAGTAACAATTTTTTAAGTTCCCATGGTTACCGGGTTTTCGATGTTGTGTAATCTACATAATGCCATTATCAATGGTCCTTAGAACTGTGGTGCATGAGAATACCACCAAAAAAAAAAAAGAAAGATTTTAAACCAATTGACTTACTCCGTCTCCATGGCAACCAGACGCACGTGTCTGGCAGATTTATTATGTAACCGAAAAAAAAAATAAATAAGCCCAATTAGGTGAGAGCTATATCTGGCTCTCCGGTGACACTGATCACGTCAACAGTCACGCAATGCTCGTGCTTTCGTGGACGAAATGTGGCTCGCTCGTGAGAAATGCGGGCTGTAGTGGCTGGAAAAATCTATAGTCATTAGGCGTATACCACTTTGGGGGCAGAAACAACAGGATAGTGCGGCAGAGGGGTTCTGAGGAAATGTGTCCTGGTGGCAAGTACTAGTGTTGCGTCCCTCTTAGACTTGAGAAACCTATTGGTGGGGGTGGGGGGGCAATTTGAAGATTTTTTTTGGGGGGGGGGGGGG